CTGTCGTCTGTGAGTTTGTCTTGTTTGAATACTTGCTCGTCCGGGCTGCACGAGGTTTGCTTTGGCAGTTGACTACCCTAGTGCTTGTTTCAGTTCGCATGTGTGGAGATTGGGAGTGATGGGGGTTGGATCTGTCATTGGGCGTATTAGCCAAGCGGAGGCATTATAAGTTTGGTTTGAGAGAAGCGAGAGGCAGGGTGAGAGTAAGGCGCGTGTTTTGTCTTTTTGATAGTCTCCCCGGTTTTGTGATCCTCCTTTCTTTCTTGGGCTCTCTTTCTTTTGTTACATCCGCGTCCGCATTCCTTTCAATTCCACTTAGGCTTGCAGGCTTGGTGGTGGCTTTCTCATTTGTACTCTGCATATAGTCATCGTGGATGGTGGCCTTGTTTCTTTCTCCTTTTATGCTTAACCAATGAAAGCCGATTCCTTGCATCTGAATGTTCTATGGGTATGTTTCAAGTGGGTGGATAGACAGGTCTTCTTTGGGTGGGCATACATATGTGCCCGGCGATGTATGTTTGTTGCCTTCATCGGTTTGACGTTTGCTGAGAGGAGGGCGTTTGAGTGGGAACAAAACATACATACTATGTGCTACTGGATTCAAACTCTGGGAAGAAGGGTCTTTGAGAGTAAGCGCAGAAGTTGACGATGTTGGAAGAAGGGGGGGTTGGGGGTTGGGCAGGGGGGAGGGCGTGACGCCCAAGGTGCTTTCCCATGTGTGAAGAGGGAGGTTTCCAATGGCAGGTTCTCCATACGGAAGGGGTTTGGAGAGGGGTTTTCTCTTCCGGGGAGAGGTGTGGGGCTCGGGAGGTGAAGGGGGAGGAAAGGTTACTGATATCCTCCCGTCCTACTTGGCTACCTTCTTTGGCCTGGTGGACCAGGGTGACAAACGGTGATTGTGCATGTGTCATTGGGTACGGATTTTGCTGGATCTCGCATGTCCGTGGACATCACCGAGAAGAGTTCTGTCAAGTTATGGGTTGGTTGCAAAAATGGCAATTATAGAACCTTTGCTGATGGCAGGCAAGAAAAGGTATTGGTAAGGTGAACCTGGGGTGCAATCTGTTAAACGAACGTTTAATGCCTGCAATAAATTCTTGGGGATCAAGACTGGCCTTGAGCAGTCTGATGAGCGTGGGACCTTCTTTCGTGGCTCACCATGCTAGCCGCAGTTAGCTTGTTGCCAACTCTGGCTAGCTCGCTGGTTAATTAACCGTTTAAGTGTGAGTATGACTGAGGATAATGGTGACGACCTTGGTGGTCAGGTGGGGTAAACCCTCTGGTGGTCGGAAGAGTGCTTGTATCAGACACAGGCTCCTGTTCGTGGAGGGGTCTGATGTGGTGGATTCTGGTGGTGGTCCCCACAACATGCCTCCTGTCTTATAAGTGGTCATGCGGTGACAAGGTGACCGTTTTTGGTTTTTCTGAATTGCCGTGAAGACGCTGCTCTGCATTTGGTGTGAAATATTTTTTGGAAATCATGTTTGTGCAAAAGGTGAAGGCTTTTTTGGAAGTTTCTCTTTTCACAGCGTTTGGGTGGGATTGCATTGAGGTGTCTTCATGTTTGGGTCTGACCGCTCCCAAGCCGTGCAATGGACAAACGGGCACCAGAGCCCTAGTCCGTATGGGTGATACCCTGCGAGATGGTGAAACCATCAGAACCAAAGAAAGAATGTATCACCTTGCTCGGCCGGACATGAATCGTCTCTTGCATGGGCAGGTGTAGATTGGTGTTGTGTTCCTGTGTTAGCAAATGCGTTCGTCGGTCTTGAAGGCGTGTGTGAGCCAGTGTGGGAATTCACGGTAATCGGGGTCACGCCGGCAAAGGAACAGTAACCCTTCCTGCCAGTGAGGTAAGATGACGAGCGTGGTGATGGTGATGGTGGTCGTGAAACCAAATTTGGCATCAGGTGTGCTTTGATCACAAAGTGAGATCCGGCCTGCGATTGGCGAGGTGTAAGGTGGAATGTTTGGGAAGCGAAACTCACTGGTGGGTCCATCGAAAGGGTCATCTGGGTTGTTTTTCGCTGTAAAACTGGAACGTGGAAAGCCTGATTGGTGAAAGTCAAATGAAGTTCGGTCAGAGGCAAGGCCGCCAATCGGGTGAAAGCATGATGTCGTTGCTTGGTAGGGTTTCCCCATGGAAGTGAGATTACTGCGTTCGGTCGGAGGTAAGGACGACTGGATGAAAGCATGATGTCGTTGCATTAGCAGGGTTTCCCCAAGGAACCGAGATTACCGTAAAGAACAGTGAGGATCAGGATATGAAGTTTCAGTGTCAGAACTTAAGGCGGCTGTCAACGATGGGGGAGTTGGATCGATGGATTCAAAGTCTACATGAGGTTGGTTCTGTGATAGCTCTGATCTGGATGTGGCCATCGGCAATAGGAGTGAGGTCTATGGATCGAAGTTTTCATCTTGGTGGTTGAGTGATACGCACATCCCACCTGGTGCCAACCCACCCTGTACCGTGTAGGCATCTGTTCCCTCCCATTCACAGCGGATGCTCGTGATTTTTCACACAGATCAAAGCAGAGGCATTATCACACTCCCACCCACCTTCATTCCCCTCACCAAACCCAGAGTCCCCTCTTCCACTCCGAAAATTCTCTCCCACATCTTTTTGCAATACCAGGTCAATCGATGCCCCCTAGTTCCCTTGCGCAAAATCTACAGCACTCCACGCCACCAAAGCGCCAACCGTCAACAAACCGACACGGGCTCTTCCCCTCTTAGCAGCAGACTGCCCCTTTCTCCGGCCTCCTGTTTCCAACCCAGCTTATCTTATCACCATTCTTACCTTTGTTGTCAAGATCTTGGTTCCCACTTCTTACTGCACTCGATAGTATTTAGGAACTTGGTACTCAGCGAATCAGGGCAAAACTATACGTACACACACACAGACATACAAACATATCACCACGGCTAGGAGGCATTTGCATGAAAAACATGCCGCCCACCCCCTTTTTCCGACTGAAAGCAGTGCATTTTCCTGGTTCATTGGGAAAAGTTCATTTGTTGTCAAGCAGTTCCATGCACACACTAAGCTGCGCTGCAAAACACTTGGCAGTACGGCAGACTGGTCCTAACTACTACACAGAGGTGCAGAACCATTTTCCGGCAACTATCCACTTGCACGACCATCCCTCCCCTCAACAGATTATCACGATCTCTTCTGCAGTCCTCTACCTGTCCCTGCTTCCCGTCCGACTTGGAGAAGGGAACCGTCCACTGGGGATAGTGCCACCAGCGTCACTCGAAGAGGGTACGTCATTCAACAGGTGAATGCACGGGAAGGTTGACTTGTCGAAAGGATGGGAGCTTGCTGTTAGAAGTGAAGGAGATGGCCACCGTTCGTCCCACCTGGTGTATCATCACCACCTTCCTGTGTCCTTTTCGAGATGGTAAGTTTTGGCATTTTGTCTGATTTCGAGACTGGCAGTGCGTTCTTGGACACTGAACTGATGGCGCGGGTCGAAGAGCATTGCAGTGACTGTGGGTGTGCGTAGGACCCTTGTGTGGGACTACTGGCCGCTGATCCTGTGCTGCAGTGTGGCGATGTTGTATCGGCCGGTAAGTGGTAGGGGATGGACATTGAACGAAATAGAACATGGTTCTTTTGGGGCGACCACAGTTTTCCTTGGTTCCATGGGGCAAAAAGTGATTCGGAAACGCTTTGTTCTCGGGTATGGTTCGTAATTAAGCAATCGTGGTTTGCACACCGACATGGGGACTGAAGACAAAGGACGGTGAGGATGATTACGGGCACTGGAGACTAACAAAGATGGCGATAATTGTAATGAGGAATGAGTGGACGTTTGTAGTAGATGCGCGGATTTGGGCGTGCTGCATATTGCTAATTTTCTGAAGGCGGATGGATGACGTAGCTAACCACTTTTTTGGCCATGGATGATGATGCCACCTTGGAGTGAAACTGGAGTAGTACAATCTCCACAGGGCATCATTCACATGTATAGAATGCAGAGGTTTGAAGGACAGCGGCGTGTGGTCTGTCTTACACGGCTCTTTATGTTCTCGTTCGTCGCGGCTCTTCGATAGGAAAGGCTATGGTGAGTGTCTTGTGTGGCCAACGTGCGTGGGGTTCGACATGTGAACCGCAAATGACTGAATATTCACCGCTCTCGACCTGCTGATCTGTTGGCTCCTTCTTATTTGTATGTCATCGTCATCCTCGTTTTTACTGATGTATACATCTGTTGCTGCTGGATACTGTCATTCGGTTATTCTCTTAAAAAGGGTGGTGGGTCTGATACACTTGCAGAGGTTGGGTCAAAAAAGAGGTTCTGGGAAGAGCCTGGCAGCTCGAGTCTGTTGGTCAGATGGATGGTTGAATGGGTTGGTCAGACGCAGCAGTGGTATTTTGTAGCCTCCAGCAGGCACACATGAGGGTGGTGGGCTCAACACCCTCGAGAAACAAGATGATGGACGGATAAATGGCTGAATGGCAAATAGGGCCAGGGAGAGTTTGAGTTGAGGGAAATTGCCAGCCATGACTCTGTTTGTGTGTCATCTTTCCACGGGTGCGGCAAATGAAATCGACCAACCAATCAACCAACCAATCAATCATGCATAACCAACAGTGAGCGCTGCTGCTGCTAGTGCTGAAGGTGTGGGTCAATGACGCCATAAATAGCAGACAGGGAAAGACAGGGCAAGAACATGTGTCGGTGTGCACATGCGCTCACTTGTAAACACACACGCAGACACACAGACACACACACACACACACACACACACAGAGAG